CGGGGCTCGCGCGCTTCCCGGCTCACCCCAGCCCCCGGGAGCCGATGCACGCAGGGCAGAGACAGGGACTGCAGTGCACGTTTACTAAAAACCAAAAGGCCTTCTTAGCGAAGGACGAGAAAGCTCATTTGTCTTAAGTGTGATAAGAGCCCGCTCGCCCCATCACTTCTGCCGCTTGTAAATCTTCTGAGCTAGGCCAAGAAAGATCTCCTTGGGGAGCCGCTTCGCGTGCTTCTTGATCAGCTCTTGTAGATGCTGGTAGCTCTTCTCCTCATATTCCTGAAAAACAGCCCTCATGCCCAAAGTCTCATAGAGCTCCTTCACCTTAGCCACCTTCTCTGGCTCTTTACAACCATAGTTCTCCTGAGAAGAGAGCAGAACAAAAAGCAAAGTTGAAGTCTAGCTTAGGGCTACTGCAGTAGCTGCTGGTTCAGCTAAATGTGGCAGGAATCGCCTCTTCTCTCCGCTACTTTATGCTACCCAAATCAATTGATCCTTCTCCCGCCCCCACGGTTCATCTACTCCGGGTTGTGCAAGGCTTTTCAAATGTCCATTAGGATACAGTACTGTATCCCCTCTACACCACGTTCTGAGGAAGGGAGCCCCTTTTTGGTAAACCTGGTGGCATTACCTCCAGGATCTGCCTCTGCTCTGGTGTGACCCGACGCAGACACTCCACCACCAGCCAGCTGCACTTCTTGTCCTGGATATCGGTGCCAACCTTCCCTGTCAACTCTGGATCCCCAAAACAGTCCAAGTAATCATCCTATGCGCAGATGGAAGAACTTTAGAGCCGCAAAAAGCATCTCACATGGAATGAGGGACAGGGAGGTACCTCCTACCTGGACCTGGAAGTATTCACCCATCTCCAGCAAGATTGCTTTGGCATTGGCATGTTCCTCTTCACTGTCAATACCAGTCTAAAACAGGGAAGAAGGAATTAAGCCTTCCTGTATCCTGTATCCGTCTTCCATCCCTCCTTCTCCAGTCTCCCAAACCACCTACCCACCTAGACAGCCTCATACGGATAATTTAGGCCGCCCCTTTCTCCTCCAAGGCTGCCTACGTTCATAAAACTCACCATGTACATGGCAGCAGCCACTGGGAGGTAGAAGGAGTAGAACGCAGTCTTGTACTTAACGATTGCCTTATACCTGTGGTAGAGGAACCACACTCAGTAACAAAGCCCAGGCCTCCTCCTTCCATGGCAGATAAGGGCCATCAGAAAGCAAGAAGTCTCCCCCTCCAAACCAGCTCTCAGTTGTGACAGGGAGAGCAAGGCTTGTTTCCCCAAAGTCAGGTAGATGACAGCAGAATTCCAGCAGACAAATTATCCCCTCTATGCAGCCTCTTCTGGAAGGGGCTGCAGCCGTAGCCACGTTAGCCAAATCTGGGCTTTTCCCCCCCTGCCCCTTCAGTACCCTCACCTCTCCTCACTGAAGCAATTCAAATCCACCTGGGAAACAGGGGCAGTGATGAGGTCCAGGGCCTGCCCAAGCTCAGTCTGGTAGACAGTCTGGGGAGGAAAGACTTTTGGATTTATCCTCCTGACTCCCAAGAGCATCCTGGAAATCCCAAACCCCAGCCTCCGCTCAGGCTCCTCTCCAAGTCTGAAGAAATGGAGCATTTTTGGCAAGCTGCCCTAGAGCTTAAGGGCAGAGTAGAGCTTCAAGCCCGCTCAAATAACTAGGAGTGGACTAGATCCAGGCAGGCAAAGGCAAGTCTCTGGGAGGGAGGATATAGGAGCCTGTCCCACCTGCAAGAAAAGCTCCAGCAGGTGCAGGTAGTAGGGTCGCCCCCCGCAGTACTTCTTCAGTAGCCTGTAGACGGATGACTCCAAGAGGAAGGCGTCGTTGACAGCATCCAAACCAATCCCCTCCTGCAACAGGAGGGCAGGAACAGGTCGCACAGCAAGCCCAGCCCTGCGGCCCTCCCCACGGCCCCGCCACGCTGCCGCCTCACCTTCTTGTACCAGCAAAGCTGCCCCCGGCGGGTGAGCGATGAGTCCATGATGTCGTCGGCCACCAGGAAAAAGGCCTGGAACTGCGGGAGGCTCAGTCAGGAGGGCGACGGGGCTGGACACCCCCC